CCCCAGTCCACTCATTCTTCAAGATATCACTAAAATTAACAATGGATGAACAAGATGGCCAGCAAAATACATACAGAGAATACTTTGTTTTACATTCCTCTGATCAGAATGGTTTTAAATAATAATACTAGTAATGATAACTGTTGACATTTATTAAGGACTTAAAACGTGCTTAAATGTGACTCTCAATCCTCCTGATGACCTGAAGAAGTATGAATATTTCCATCTTACGATGAGGAAACGGACAGACAGGTTAAGGAACTTGCCCAAGACGTTAAGTGGCAGCTATGACTGAATCCAGGCTCTTTACTCTGACATCATGCTCTTTGCTTTTACTGAAAGCCACTGTTATACTTATTATGCAGTTGTTGTTGAAGATTTTATATTTTAAGTACCAACCTTACTTTTTGCTTTACCTTTTTTTCCCCCCAATTTGCCTTTAAAATAAATTATGTCTGGGGTGCCTGGGTGGCGCAGTCGGTTAAGCGTCCGACTTCAGCCAGGTCACGATCTTGCGGTCCGTGAGTTCGAGCCCCGCGTCAGGCTCTGGGCTGATGGCTCAGAGCCTGGAGCCTGTTTCCAACTCTCTGTCTCCCTCTCTCTCTGACCCTCCCCCATTCATGCTCTGACTCTCCCTGTCCCAAAAATAAATAAACGTTGAAAAAAAAATTTAAAATAAATTATGTTATTGTATCTTTTGTACCTCTGTGTATAAACAAATTATATTTGGAACACAGAGGAACAGGTATAGATTTAAAAAAGAATAGACAAGAAGGAGTACACATATTGTGATGAGTGCTGAGTAATGTATAGAACTGGAGTTGAATCATTACACTGTACCTAAAACTAATATGATACTGTATGTTGATTATACTTCAATTAAAAAAATAAAAGAAGAATAAACAAACATGAAAACATGCTAATTTATAGATCAATGAAATGACAAGTTAGAACTCAAAAAGAAGATGTTTTACATAGAATCATACAGATCGACACTATCCAACAGAAATATGAAGTACATATATAAATCAAACTTTTCTGGGAGTCATATAAGAAAAAGGTACAATTAATTTTATTTTATTTAACCCAAAATATTCAAAATATTATTATTTCAATATGTAATTGGTATTGTAACATTTTAATAAGATATTTCACACTTTTTTTTTCATCCTAAGTCTTTGAAATCCTGCATGCATTTTCTCCTACAATACATTTCAGTATAGACTAGCTACATTTCTAGTGCTCAAAAGCCACATCTGACTGGAGGCTAGCATATTGGACAGCATAGACAGAGATGGATGGGGATCAGAGACTACGGAGTTTGAATCCGCCTAATTATTTTTTGGTGGGAAACGAAGCTCCAAGAAATTCAGAGCCTTGCAAAGCAAGGATGAATGCTTGGATTCCGGCACCGTGATTTCCCACAGTTCATACTTTTAAGATGACTGCAAATTCACTTCCACAAAGGAGTGCCATCTCCCTCCCTTGTCATTTTCCCACATGTCTAGCCTTGTTCTAAGATACACGTAATTGCTCACAGGGCTTCCTATCGTCCCATTCAGCAACTCAACTGGGAGCTTCTTCCACAGAGCTCCAAAGCAGGCACCTCCACTGACATCAGTGGCTACTTACACTAGAATTAGGATAGTATTTTATTTTACTCTTTGGTCTGAACAAGCTCTGACAACTACATGCTTCCTGCTTTTGTTATCTGCTATGCTGCCTATTTAAATCCACATTCACTGAGGACATATTGGAAAAGGATAGAACCAAGCCATATTTTTGGAAGGGCTTATTTATTATTATAATTACTTAACCTTATCTATTTGTTTCATGTTGCTCATGTATTTGAGTCATTATGCCTCCACAAGGAATACAATAAAGTAAACTCTTAACTCCTGAAGAAGGGAAAAACCGAGACCAAGACGGAACTTAGCAAACTGTCTTGCCTCTTTAGAGTCCGACAGCCTCAGGCTATAACTGATTGAATGACCTCATCAGATTTTTACAGCCTAATAATGAAAAGCCTAAGAGATAAGATTATAAACTCAATCCATGAATCATTCCCTCATTTTTCGGAGAATGCTGCATAGAGGTAATGAGTTTATTCCCAGTCCTCCATAGCTGGAAGGGGACCCTGCAGCTCAAGGTGCTTATCAGCCACCTACCTGCAGGGGCCCCATGAAACCAACTCAATGCATTAAGCTCCTACAGGGCAGTAACTCTGCTTCCTGCCATATGTTTTAAAAGGTTCTGGGCCCATCATCAATCTCTATAGGAGAACACAGACTGTCATTAGATTTGATTAGCGTTAACCAATTACTGTGACAGCTCAAAAAGTCATTTATGTGACACAGAAAAAGTCCCTCTTCTTCCCTTGTTCTTTCAGGATTTCAACTCTATGAATTCCTGTCAGTCTTGTCAAAACTTTACTATAATTACAGATAATTGTACATTTATGATTCTAATTGAAAACGATTTTGTAGCATTGGTATGTGTGTAAATACTTGTGACCACTGAAGCAGAAAGACTCCAGAGTTAATATTTTAAAAACAGAGCTGGCTGGCTGCTGGTGCAAACGCTGGCATTAGCTGTAGGCATAGCCCACCCTTGACTCCCTGGGGTTTGCCTAGAGAAAGGTGAGCACTCACCAACAGAACCAAGATTTGCTTGCTGTTCACTCTGTACAAGGGGGTGATACCCTCTGGCCACTATGATGAAATTGAGTCAAACCTTCTCCCCACTACTGGATGCCTCACTTACATCCCTTTTAGGGTGGAGCCTGAAGGTGACAGGTAGTGACTGTCTCAGAAGTCCAGGGACCAAAAGGACTGCAGTGTTACCAGAGAAGTGTCCCAGCTTCTTTCCCGTTGTGTATCTTGGCATCTCTCTCTCCCTGAAATAGTTTCATTATTTATTGTCTTTTTTTTTTTTTTAATCCTGAGTATATTTATAGTTTTCTAAACTTAATTTTAAGGCACATAGTAGACTATTTTATATTTCTTACTCTGAAACCACATGAAGTTAAATTGCTTTTCTGTTGTATCATTGACTTATTTTTCCTGAGACTGGTGTCCTTAATGTAAACAGAGCTTTTTATCCGTTCTCCAGTGCACAATGTTAAAAACAAACAAACAAAACAACAATGGACTAACACAATTAATTTGGGAATTCTCTCTTCTTATCCCCCACCCTACTGTCCCAGAATCCCAGGAAGAAGTTGTACGCCAGGAAAAAGCAAAAAAAAAAAAAAAAAGAAAGAGTGGAGGACAACCTATAAAACAGGAAAGTGGTCCCCAAGTGATTTTACGATTTTTTATTGTTAGCATTCTGTTTCCTATTTAGTCTATATTAATGAGATGATCCCCAAATTTCATAAAGAAATTTACACATCATTAGATACATAAATAACTGGAGGTGAGGCGTTGTGTTGGAAAGACATCTCGACAGGAAGCACAAGTCCTGTTGCATTAATTGCCCATTGCATAATTGTGGGCAAATCAATTAAATTCTATGAAGGTGAAGTTCTTAATACAGTATGGTATTATTTATTATCTGCCCTCCCAATCTTTTTATAAGGACCAAATAAAGTGATAAATGTAAAACTGCTTTGTAACTTGCAAATAATAATTATAGAAAATTGTTATCTTTATTATTAGCTTGAAATACCTATGTGCCAGGTACCATTTTATTTATTTTTTAATTTTTTTAATGTTTATTTTTGAGAGAGACAGACAGAGTGTGAGTGGGAGAGGGGCAGAGAGAGAGGGAGACACAGAATCCGAAGCAGGCTCCAGGCTCTGAGCTGCCAGCACAGAGCCCGACACAGGGCTTGAACCCACGAACTGTGAGATCATGACCTGAGCCGAAGTTGGATGCTCAACCTACTGTGCCACCCAGGTGCCCCCCCACTTTTTTTTAATGTTTATTTTTGAGAGAGACAGAGTGCAAGTAGGAGAGGGGCGGAGAGAGTTTAACATTTTTTTTTTAAATTTTTTAATGTTTATTTATTTTTGAGAAAGGGAGAGACAGAGCACAAGCAGGGGAGGGGCAGAGAGAGAGGGAGACAGTATCAGAAGCAGGCTCCAGGCTCTGAGCTGTCAGCACAGAGCCCCATGCAGGGCTCGAACCCATGAACCGTGAGATCATGACCTGAACCGAAGTCGGGCTCTCAACCGACTGAGCCACCCAGGCGCCCCTTAAATTTTTTTTTAATGTTTATTTTTGAGAGAGACAGACAGTGCGAGCAGGAGGGGGACAGAGAGAGAGGCATTTTAAATGCTTTGTATGAAAACTCATTTAATCCTTACACTACAGTAATTAGGTAGCTAGTGTTATTTACCCTTACTTCACATGAGGAAGTGGAGGCAAACGGGTTAAATAACTTGTCCAAGATTTTAAAGGTGATAACTCAGAGAGCTCTTATCCAAACCCAGGCAGTCAAGCTCCATGCTTTATTGTCTCCTGATACAAATCTGAAGTTAAAAGTTGACAGCATGCAGTATAAAGCTTACTGCTCTACAGGGAAGTCTTTATTGAACAATAAGCAGAGTTGGTAGGGCCTGAAAAAAAATCAACTAAACAGCTAAGTCCAGCAAGAGACGAGGGTCTTTCTTTCATGCATGGGGACAGAACAGTCTTGAAAGCCAACAAGGTTCTTAAATGTAAAATTACCCTTTCAGACTTAACAAAAACAGGACGCTAGTACTGTGGGTAGCCAGGCAAAAAAACCTGAAATGTGCCCAGTTGACATATCACATTGATGCTGTATTTAGATAAACATTTACTGAAACTGCACATGTGACTGTAATTCTGCAACTAAGCCAGTGGATATTCCCAAAGCCAGTGTAGGCTATAACTGGGGCAAGACAAAAACAAGCTGATTGTACAATTTCTCTTTCATCTCACTTCTTGGTAGATTGCCTCAGCTCATGGATACTGACCACTGATTTTGGTGAACAATGGGAGGGGGCCAGAAAGTGTAGATCACCCACCCATACCTGCTACCTGGAGAAAATCTATTGGCTTCTTTTTCTTTCCATTTCTTTCCCTTGTTGGAATTCCTTCGCAAAGGTGCCCTATAACGACAGCACAAAGTCAGAAAGGGGAAACTGACATTTTTCTCTTTTAGTCCTTCCTTCACAGAGGGTTTGTGTGTTACATCATGAAATGCTTACCCCAGATCCACAAACTTGCGCTTAATTTTTCCTCCTTGCACCACCAGTGAACTGGATGCCCTTAGTGATTTGGGATCTTTGGCACCATCTAGGATACACACACATGTGAACAAGACCAATTATTATTATTTTTTTAGGGTATGAGTCAAAAGTCAGTGCATCTCGGAATCTAAGGAGTTTACCCCAATTCCAAAGTATAAAAGAAAATAATGTATGCCTTTTTTTTTTTTTTTTTTTTTTTTTTTTAAGCCAGAGGAAATACAGCTATGTTGAGGAACATTCAGTTAAGCCAGGAGAGGTCCTGCTGGACAGAAGCCCAACACTCATCACAAAGAGTTTTGGCTTCAGATATATTGGAATGAACAAAGTAAGCAAGAATAAACACTATCAAATAATTCTTTTTTTTAAGTTTATTTATTTTGAGAGAGAGAGAGAGCATGCAAGTGGGGGAGAGGCAGAAAGAAAGGAAGGGAGAGAATCCCAAGCAAGCCCTGTGCTGTCAGCACAGAGCCCAACATGGGGCTTGATCTCACGAACCTCGAGATCATGACCTAAACTGAAATCAAGAGTCAGACGCTTAACCAACTGAGCCACCCAGGCACCCGTAATTCTTTACATTCAAAGAAGGGGACTGACATGACTTTCCTTTTGTTCCTTCTATGGCTTCAACTCTGTTTCAAATGTCCAGGCTCTGGGGGCACTTGGGTGGCTCAGTTGGTTAAGTGTTGACTCTTGATTTCAGCTTAGGTCATGATCTCACAGTTTATGAGATAGAGTCTCATGTTGGGCTCCATGCTGACAGTACAGAGCCTGCTTGGGATTCTCTCTCTCCCTCTGTCTCTATCCCACCCCACCTCATGCACAAGGGCGCATGTGAGCCCTCTCTCTCTCTCTCAAAATAAATAAATAAATACACTTTAAAAAGAAATGATGCCTGGGCTCTGTGCTTCATACCTTTCCTGCCTTTGGGTTTCGGTGCCTTCTGACAGGAACCCAGAACGCTTCCCCCATTTCTCCCAAGTCCAGTACAGAAAGTCAGGCCTGAGAGTCTGGGATTCAGGGAGAAAGTGAGAGTCAAAGCCTTCCTTTCTGGTCTCTCCCTTGCTAATGGCCTGTGGCCAGTTCTGGAACTGAGGAGGGCAGATCATGGGGGAGACTTTTTAAGCTGGGGCTCAGCTATAAAACATTTATATCTTTGAAAGGCTTCTCTTAGAAGCTGGGTTGGAGCACTTGGCTGGCCTCCTATGATGAGGAAGATGCCAAAATTTCCTCAGTGTTTGAAGCTGAATGATCTTTGCCTCTTTGAGTTATGCTGGCTCTCAAGGGCAGCAGCTGCTGGGGGATGGGAATACTCAAAATGATGCCAAAAACCAATCAGAGGAGAGGCTTTGAGAATGGCGTTCAATGTCAAATGTAAGAGCTAGATTCCATGGGTGGCATTTATTCCTCCTTAAACATAGTAGATAATTCATAAGGTTCTATCTGGAACTATTTAGCAAAGGATGTTGTTCAGTGTTAAGTTTTAGCACATCCAGTCATCTGAGATGACTAACAAAGGGTGTTTTAAATTTGATGCATATTGGTGTGTGAAACTACTCTTTCCTAATTGTCTGTTGGTGTCTGTCTCTATCTTTGTAAAATTAAAAATATTCCAGCAATTTTCTGGTATGGAGTATAGACAGAAAAGTGCTCCTACAGAAGTGTTTAATTAACCTTGCTAATTAATTTTGCTTATAGTTGTATTTCAGGAGAAATTTCTAAACACACACACAAAACATGAAGTGCACACACAGTTTTTATTTAGGAGTCTACATTCAAAGCTCTTAAAGCAGCACAAGATGTTTACAAACTCTCAAGATTTTTAGCAATGAGCTCTTCATATTTTTAATGATCTTTAGATTACAATAATTCCTTGGAATGTACTTAATGGAACAGAAGAGTCAGAGATATGTCCACATCAAAATCCACTTCTTGTCTCAAATATTTATTATGAATATTTGCATCATCACCCAGGGTAACGGGATTAAATAGCCACAGATGTGAGATATACACATAAAGAAACTCCACGGTCATGGCACAAATACCTTCTGAGGTGATTTTGTTAATGGACATAGAATTTTTAAAAAGTAGGATTTCGATTTTCTTAATAGAAGCCAAAGGAAAAAAAAAAGGTGCCAGATTCCTTCAGATCAATCCTAAGGCGACTCTTAATGGCTAGGACTGTGCAAAGTTTAAAAGGAGACTGCCTAATTATTTTCTGAATTAGAGGTAGCTGGGAGATGTTTTAACGAGTAGTGAGAGGACCAGATGAGACGATGTACATGGAAACACTCTGTAACCTATTAGTGTTGCGGTTACTTGGGCATCTTGGGACTAAAAGCCTGATTCTGCCCATTACAGAGCCTGCTGCTAGGCAACCTCATGTCATTATCTCACACATTTGCCAAACTGTGTTCCAAGGAACACTTAAATGAAGGCTTTCACAAGGCTGAAGAGGCAAGATTAAGTAATAATGCACTTCCCTGTTTTAAATCAATCAAATACATCTTTAATGCATATTAGGACTTCCAGTCTACATAAAAACCAACACTGGATTGGCTGGATTTCAGGAAAAGAAAAAAAAAAGCAATTTTGTTTTTGTTTATTGACTCAGGTTTACGTAAAATTTCCATCAGGCTTTTTGAAATCTCTCCAATACTACCTTCAAGAGCAATCGGAAGTCTGAGCCTTCAGGTTGGGCACGGCAGCTTTACACTTTGGCAATCTGGCCTTCATTCTTAAAGGTAGTAAATGATCTCCCCATGGCTACATGCTAAGGCCTTTCTTTCTTGTCTTGTGCTGCATTCTCCTTCCTCTCACTGCAGTCAGAGTCCTGACTCCCTCTTCCTTTCCTCTGGGGACTCCCAAAGCTGCTCCTCCAGACCAGCTTCTCTCCTGACCTTCTTTATTAAAAAAAAAAAAAAAAAAAAAAAAAAAGAGTTCATTATCTTCCTCCCATAATATTTCTGATTCCTTATCTTCTATTGATGACAGGGCCATATTTTCGGAGGCTAGAAACCCTGTGATCAGTTTTGTCCTCCTCACTTTCTTCCCCTGTGTCTGGGCAACTTACACTTCAGGGGTTCTTGCATGGCCCTTTTCCGCCATTGTCTATTGTTCCTCTTTAGAGGTTATCCCTCCCAGGGTCTCCTGACTCATCTTGCCCACACCTAATGTCTTTTCCTTTTTATCCCTCTGTTCAAACATCTGTGGTTGCCTAGTAATATAGAGACGTATCTACAGCACTTAAATCCTACAGCTAATGATTTAACCTTCCTGTTCAATTTAATTGCAATCATCTACACTGCATAAACAAACTGCTTCAGGCAGGCTGGGGCAGCCCCATTCCTTTCAAGCCATCTCCTGTGTGCCTGTCTCTGCTAATGCCACTGCCCTGCCTTATCTGCCTTCCTTTCCCGTCCTTCCCCTCACCCCACCCAAATAGTTCAATGCTCACTCTAATTGTACATTCCTTGTCACGTCTTATTTACCAATCTCAGCTAGATGTAACCTGGCCCCTCCTCTCACCAATGATAAAATTTATAATTTCTATATGTATAAGAGCCTAATGCATTATATCAATAATAAATGAATCCTGTAAAGATTTTGCAAAGCCAGGTTCTACTTGCCAGGACATTGATTCAGCCAACTTTTTTTTTAAGTTTATTTAATTTATTTTTTTTTTGGAGGGGGGGGGAGGAGGGATGGATAGAGAGAGAGAATCCTAGGCAGGCTCTGCACTGTCAGTGTGGAGCCCCCGAACCATGGGATCATGACCTGAGCCAAAATCAAGAGTTGGACACCTCACATACTGAACCACCCAGGCACCCCAATTCAGCAAATGTTTTTGAAGGCATGTTCTGTGTCAGGCAATATGCTAACAGGCCTATATACACTTTGAATAATAACCTCTAGAAATCACAAGTAGAAAACTGATAGTGCTTAATTTATTCTTTTTAACCTTATCTGAACAAAAGCCCATTGTTATGGAAGTTTAGAGACCAAAATGTTATTATTAGGCTACTCAAAGAATGAGCATGAGGAAAATATTTTCATGCTTTCTACTGTCATATAACTTGTTTTACAAATCTCTGCAAATAATCTTATACTTCCTCTTGCTTTAACTGAAGTGGGGATAGATGTTTATCATTTATCTAGTTACAATGGGGACTCTCTATACCCTATTTTCCACTGAGGTCCCTCAAATACAACAAAGTGATGATTTGTGAATGTGGTGTTGACATAATTTAGAAAACATCCAACTTCAATTAGTTGTTCAATAATTCCAGCACGTTGTTAGCCTTGAAACTGTAGTGAAATACAGCTGCAACTTAATTATTACCTTGCAGTAAATTAATAGACCAAACATAACGGCATATTACTTAAAAAAAAAATCTAGCTAAATGGCAACCAGAGACTAAGATATTTTCAGAGTTTATACAGCAATGATGAGTAGAAGCACATAAAGGCCCAGACCAGGGGTCTAGCTTTTTCTGTAAAGGGCCAGATAGCAAAAATTTTAGGTTTTGGGCTATACAGTATTTGGCACAAATGCTCAACTCTGCTTATTGTAGCATCAGAGTAGACAGTATATAGCCAAATGAGTATGGCTGTGTTCCAACAAGACTTTATTTATAAAAACAGGTAGGGACTAGATTTGGTTTGATAACCTGCATTGGTTATCTGGAGAGGCATGCCTGTTAATTTATTCAAGAAACTTATGAAGCATCAATTATATGCCACACTCTTTGATGGGGCCAAGAACACAAAGATGAGAAAGATGAATGAGAAAACTGGCTCATCCTTGACAACTAGGTTACTTATCATACACAAAGTGATAGAAGCACAGGTAACAGTGTGAAAATTTCTGTGGGATCAGAGAGAAGTGAATAATTCACTGTGCCCAGAAATGGGGAGAGTATACTAAGAGTCCACTAAAGGAGGTGAGATTTAATCTGGGTTTGAAGAAGAACACAATTTCCCAGGATTAGAGAGTTACGTAAGAATGTAGACCTGAGGTCTTGCCGAACCTCATTCTAGTTCTTTTTC